TCTGTTTCCCCCCCATTTCTCTCTCTCTCTCTCTCTCTCTCTCTCTCATTACCACACCTAGATTCAACCCAATCACACTCTTAATCAAAGGATCCTTTATAAGTTGCTCTGAGTCATCAAACTTAATTGATGATTCTTTTATTTGTGCGACTGTATTTTTTTGCCACTGAAATGAGACTGGGATGGCTGAGACGGTTTTGAATTATATCTTAATTGTAATTCATATAGTGATATTAGCGATCTTAAATGAAAGCCTATCCAGGAGAGCCTCTTCACCGGGCATCACTGGGGTGGGATTTCCTTTGCTGCATGACCAGTGTTTGTTGTCCTCCTTGCACGTCTGAAAAATCCTGGAGGATCAACTTCTGGCTCTGTTCAGCTTTTCCTTCCCAACACCTAGCAGAGTGCCTTGCTCATTGTAGGAAAGCTTTATATATTTGAAAAATGAATGTTACTGCTGAGTGAACTACTGAGTCTCAGAATAGAACTATGGTATCGAGTCTCCTATTACTCTGAATCTCCCAGATGTCTGAACTGCCATGCTACAAACATAATTTTTAATTTGGAATTAAGTTCCACATAGTCTGGTTCATGTGCGGAGCAAGAGATGTGGCTCAGTTATGAACTATATTTGGGAAATTATTTAAAATTTTCATGATTTCTCTTCGGTTTGCCAGGAAATGTTTACCATCTAAATCATTGACAAAGTAATGGAAAGTCTCTCATTAAAAAAAGTCAATCATCTAAATATTATTTTTGGAATAAATGCAACTGAGTGTCCTTGGGGGAGATAGCTTTGAAGTAAAAATGGCTAACATGAACTGAGGACTTAATATTGTTACAGGCTGAGAGATATGTATGTCCTTGAATGCATCATCCTCTTTAATTGTTTTACTCTGTGAGGTAGGAGCTATTATTGTTCTCTTTTATAAATTAGTTAACTGAGGTTTTGGAATTGAAGAAATTTGAAATGCTTCAATTGAAGTCAGAAAAAAGTAATACGTGGAAAAACTTGTATTCAAATGAAGGCTTGTTCAATGCATTTTGTATCACACACATACACGCTATACTTTTTTAATATCTAAACTATAGTTTGCTGCCTTTTGTCTTCTTAGTGATCTGGAAAATGTGGGTTAATACATGTCAGTAGTGAATGTAATTTTCTCAGGTCTTATCCTAAATAGTTGTAGATGTGATACAGATTTCCTGTGGTTGAGCTCTGCTGGAATGCTATTATCAAACAAGCAGTTTGTTTATTATGCATAAGCAGTAAGCCAGGTAACACACATTTTCAATCAACCTGTCTTTAAGCTTATTATCTGTTCTGGAATACAAATCATGAAACCATGAAAAGTTTTCTTATTCATAATATGTACCAATTATAACCATGCCAGATGCATTGGGTCTGCCCTTCTCTCCTGATAAGGGGATAAGACAAGATACACACTCTTTTTCCTGCAGGAGCGGCTGATCTCCAGCAGCAGTGTTTTTTGTGTGGTTTTACTTTTTGTAATTCTTGCATTAGGTAAGAAGCTAATGTATTAGATCAGTTTAGGACTTATTTCCATTCTTGAATCCTGTTAGAGGTTTGTAAAATTCTCATTAAATGACTTTGTGGAATTTTCATCAGAATTCATAGCAAAGGACCCACTGTCATCTCTTAAGAGAATTATTCTCTATGAGTAGTTTGCAAATTGTCCTAGTCTCCTTAGGATGCTTTAAAAGGGGGGTGGGCGCAATAAAAATAGTGGCTTCCAAAAGAATGCATTTGTCCACGTGAATTGCTTGGATTGGATGGCTGTTACCTGCATAGGATATTATAAAGCATTCTAAAAATATGCATAGTTAAATGTGTCTGAGTGATTTTATATAGCAAATTTTTGTTTGAATATTAGCACTACTCACCTTTCATATGAGATTAAGTCAAAAAGTATCACTAGTAGATTTACAGTTCATAGCTATATGAGTTTATCTTTAATAACTGTTTAAACCTCCTCTATGATCAGTGGAAGGCTGCAGAGAAGTTCACTCAATAATATACTTATTTCAGTCCCATTAGGGTTTGTTTTATTAAAAGTACAATAAAAATAGTGGCTTCAAAGGGAATCTACTTGGCCAGTTAAATTCAAAGCAGACAGATCAGCTCAGAAGGTTATCGTATGTGTGTTCTGAGATCCCCAGGGGGGCGATCTTGATAGCTTTTCCTCTAAGGATACGGGATGATTAGGGGACTTAATAATACTTAGAACAAGTTATTCTAAGGGAATTTTTTTTGGTCTATCATGGCAATGGGCATGCTTACTTTTCATAGTCATAAGGACTGTCCTAAAATAATTTCATAGGTAACTTTACCTCATCCACCTTAGAGACCTGTTCTTGTCCCTTTAGTCTGTGTTTGTTCTCCAAACTCACAAAATCATTAAAATGGAACACAAGTCGAGTTCCTCAAGAATGTGGAAACTGACATTTTGACGTGCTATAAATCAAAGGGTACAGACTGTTGGGGACAAGGTGAGCGAGAGAAACGTGGTCTTCAGAAGTGTAGAAACATAGATGGAGGCTCTGTTGAGAAATGGCTTCACATTTTAATTGTTTGTTTGGTAAAGGTTTCCATGATCTTACAGCAATAGTATTTAACTTGCACTCTTGCTTAAATCTGGATTGCTTTTTTTAACACTAATATATTTTACATTTAAAAATTAGTTTTCCAACATTGAAGAATAATAGCATCTTATTCTCAAAAGTTTATAAAAAACAAAAGAAATCCAATTATATTCTAATTAAAGGTCCATTGTCTAAATAATGTGTCCCAAGTGATGTAGTATATGACTTAAGTGTCACTCCAATGATGGCCTGATGCTCAAAATGACAAACGATAGGAAAAACATGTGTCCCAAAGCCAGATTGTCCTTGTTATAGTCTGAAATCTGTCACTTACTAACCGGTGCTGTCGGTCACAGTGTTCATTTCTCTTTCCTCATTTATAAAAGGGAAAATGTAGCATCTACATCTTTTACGTATTGTGAGAATTCAATGAAACGCATATAAAGAAATTGGAATAGTCAAATCCAGGGGAAGTAAACAATCACTGTTATTCAGAATGGCTGCAACCTTACCTTGCAGATCTAGAGGCTACAAGTACATACTCTGCAGCCCAAACCCAGTTTGTTCTTTATTCACTAACTCATTCACCTTACTGATTACCTATTAAATACTGCAGATGGTGATATAGGAGGTAAATCATCAGACATTGATATCCTTCCCTCAAAGAGCTTACAATTTGGTGGAGGGATCAAAACTGCCTAAAAGCAATTCTAACACAAACTGGAAGGTGCACAATGCTAGAACACTTCCCAATGAAGTCAAATAAGAGTTTTGAATGCACAGTCACTTCTGAAAATTGCAAGGCAGGATTGTGTGTTGTCTTGATTAACAAAATATTCAAATGTTGCTAATATTTGTGGGCTCCTCCACACACACAGGGCACGGATGGAGAAGGGCATCACTAGAGTCCACTCTGAAGGTTTGCACGTCTACATGTCTTACAGCTGTTTGTTATTTCCCAATGATTGTCGGAAGGTCACCAGAGCAAAACAAATACTAATACAAGTGACATTTGCTCTTAATTTTTCATTTTCATTGTTGTTCCAGTTTTGAGAATCAGAAAGTGTCTTAGAAATTAAAATAGAAAAAAATAAAAGTATTAAGCCTTAAATTTTTCATTACTTTGCCTGTAATTTATTTCTTAGTTCAGATTCTTGAATATTTAAACCATTTGAAATATTAATAACGTAAAGAATTATCAATATTTACATTAAATTGAAATTCAGATTGCTCCCTAATATTTTAAAGGTTTATATTATTTGTAATTATACCAAAACCTGATCCCGATGGAAGAAAAGTAATTAAGTATTGCATGATCACTTTGGGTGGCTAGAAATGTTTGCTTCTCCAGAATAAGGCCCACGGAAATATTAAAACACATTAAATTAGAAGAATAAAATGTGTGATGTTTAGAAGTAAATACAGTAAAAATAATCATATGAGAAATTATTTTAAAGTGATATTTTATATTTTATATCAAAGGGTCTCAAATGTGTTAATTCAAAGTTCATATATGAGACTTATTATAGTATATTTTTAAATAGTAGTAGTATCATATCTCATTTGTGGTTTCTGCAAAATGGAAATGATAATGTTTGTGAGGTAATATTTGCATTTCATAGAGGTAGTTTACTATTATAGCATAGTACAAACAAATACATGCCAGGATACTATAAAATTAAATTAAATTAATAAGAATGATTCAGATAATACTAATAACTGAAAATATAGTTTATTATCTAGAATCTTCTTTGGACATTTTGAGAAATATTCACATTCAGAAATATTTTTTGGGTTATTTCAGGTTTAATATTTGCATAAACTTTTCTCCATCCAACTCATCCTTGAGTTTACTCTTTGTCTATTTCTAGCCCGAAGTGACAAATATATATTAAAATTTACAGTATTCGTTACTAAAACTTTATGCTGTAATCACATGGGTACAATCTTTTGTTCGTGATTCTTTACTTACTATTTTATTTATGGCATATACTCCATGAGGAATGTCTAAGGAAGACCAATCAACAGTAAATCCAAGCGTACTTATCTATGTGTCCATATAATACAATTAATTTAAGAAAACAAACAGTAAATGAACCCCACCCCCACAGAAAAAATCCCCATCGTGCCACATGACATCAGTAAGAGAACATTTTCCAGTTGGCTTTATGTTTTATTCCCCCCCTGCTCTGGTGTAAGTCATTTTTTCTAAATACATATAGACTTCTATGAGAATAAAATATTTTTAAATGTCCAACTTTATTTGGGGACAAAATCTGCCCTGTGTAAAAGACTGAAGTTTGAGAAAGAAAATTTTCATCCTTAAATGTTATCTCTACTAGTGAATGGGAGCCAAGAGGCAATCGGGGCCATGCTGGCCATGCTGTATTACTTACGGTTAAGAGGCAGGCTTGCATTGGTAGTGCCTAGCTTGTTGGCAGCCACACAAGTATAATTGCCAAAGTGCTCCTGAGTCACATTGGTGACGGTGAGAATGGATCTTGTGCTAAAGTTTTGAATAATAATTCCTTGTTGACCATTGAAGAGCCTAGAAGGCAAAATAAACTTCAGGTAAATACGCATTGTGAATACAATTTTCATTTCATCTTAAATAGGGTTGTCGCAGCAACCCATAGACACTTTTGGCCACACTGAAGTTAGTATGTAGCATGACAATGCACACAGGGTTCCCTTACTTCAGGAGATCTGGGGAAGAAGTGGCTAATGACAATTGTGCGCTGCTCCTGTGATGTTGCTTCTGCTGCGTAACAAAGTAAGCTTAGATATTCATGTGTCCTCCTCGTGTGAAATTTTGTAATTTAGAAAAATAAACGGACTACTGAAATGACATCACCTCTGCCACAGTCAAGAGAGGGTAAAACAGGATTAAATATAAAGATTCTGTTAAAAGTCCAAACTGATGATTTCTAGATGTGCTGCCTAGGATATGGCTAAGCTTGGGTATTACTAGATTACACCCATGGAAGTCAGTCTTTCAGTCTTAAAGCTCTAAGAAAGGATGACTTTGAGGTCAGTGTCCTCATTACTATACTGACATTGATGCTGTGGGCAACCAGACTGGGATCCACCATTATACATAGAGTCAGAGCTGGACTGCTGGGTATAGCATCTAGAATTGTGGACCACAGTTCTATCTCTTAGTAAAGTTCCTGAGAAAGTCTTTTAATCTTTCTGGGTCTCAATATGGGATTCAGTTTTACCTGACCCTGTCCTATCCATCAATCTCGCTTCAGACTTCTAAGCAGTTAAACTGGTACATATGTCTTTACAATTCTCCATTCATGGCATGCCCATGCTTGATTTGCCATGTTTGAGAATCTGCATACTCTAGTTCCCTCCTCCCCTTTGTCTCTACCAACCAGACCTTTCCATCCCAATTAAGTCACAACCTAACACTTATTTCTCTTTTTCTATTTGCTTCTCAAATAATCCTCCCCTCTCTCTCTGAATGACTCTTTTTAAATTGAAACTATGGTCTTCATTTATCCCCTTTTCACAGTCTTTGGTACAAATGTTCAGTAATGGTAGCCAGATACCATTTATATCTGCTTTCATGGAAATGTCAATGGTGTAACACCCCATCCATAGCTCCAAAAAGGCTGGGGTCCATGAAAGGGTCATTTGACAACCCCCAAAGGGGTCGCGACCCACAGGTGAGAACCGCTGGTCTCTAGGGATCAACCACAGCATCCAAGATTAGACAGGAAGTTTATGTTACAGGAGGAAAAACTCAAAGAGGGAGGGTAAAAATGGTTTCAAAACTCAAAACAGATACTCATGATCACTGAATTGTATGTACAGCAACTGTGGAGTCAGTGTGCTTTGCTGTGGATACCATCAACAAAATAACAACAACATAAAAATTATTATGGCATTTATAAAATTTGACTAGATTTTTGCATTATTCTCTCTACTAGGTTTCATATATACAATCTTTCAACCCAAATACACTCTTTTTAAAAACCCTAAAGACAGGACTACCTAGACCAATGTTCTCTATTATTGGCATCTTACATCATAGTTAAGAGTTGGCCCCTCGGTACATAAGAGAGTACACAGACCAAGGATTCCATTGCTATTTGTACATGTTCAATGGCTCGTTCCTCCGAAACAGACATCTCATTTCTTCTTCCTAGTCTGGAAGTACCCTGAAATCTGTTCATACTGGGTGACCCTACTGTTATTTGAAATACCAGTGACAGAATTTTCAGCCTCACACCAACCACCACAGCACAACAAACTGACAGAAATTTGGAAATACAGCCAAAAATCTCCTCAGAAACAAGGATGGCAAGACTTCAGTTCATGCACTTTGGACATGTTTTCAGGAGAGAACACTCCCTGGGGGGGTGGCACAGGGGGTGGGTAGGGAGGGGGACTTTCAGGCTTCTTAAAGTGGAGGGTCAGTGAAAAGGAGCAAGATCGTCCAGGGGATGAACTGACACAGAGGTTGCAATGATGGGCTTCGTCACCACAAGGGGTTGCAGACGGAACCATAATTGTGAGGCTGGTACAGGCCTGGGCAGGGTTTCCTCCTATTGCAGGGAGGGTCATGCGAGTCAGACCCTGCTCGACAACCCCTGACACAACTACAACCTCAACACATCAAGGGGAACCCGAGCATAGACCGTCAACATACACCTTACTGAGTCCCCTTCATCAGTCCTTTTAAGAGATTTCTCTTGGCAAAGAAGAAGTCTATTACAAAGAGGATTCTACCTAGATGCAAACACCTCCCTAACCAACCCCCAACCCACTGTTAGAGGGGTCATAACAAAGTAGGAGCTAGGTGAATGGCAAGTTAGTTTGTCCTTTGTCATGTGCTCAAGTTCTTGTGCCACATATTTCTTTCATCGTGAAGTTGATAATAAATGGCATCTTCCAGACAGTTTAAGTTAATTCCTTTGCATTATGGAATGTGGTTCGCATCTGAACTTAAATAAAATATACTGTAGTTAAATGCAGATTAAAATAAGCAGCCTTGCTTGATTGCTCTGTAAATTGCTTATGTTTCATGTAATAGCTGAACTTGGATTATCCACATGTCAAATTTTAATCAGATTTATAATATTTGAGTTGCATAAACATTGAGCAAACTTGACCTTGAACAATAAATGTAAGGCTCTTCAATTCTGACACAAGAAAATGGGACATAAAGTATCAAGGAGGTGGAAACCTTATATTCTTTCTGTGGTACTTAGGGATCATGTCAACTAGATTCTTTGACTGGGGGTGGAGTCTAACCTGTCCAACAAGTCACAGCATGATGACACTTCCTTGATGTCATAAGTCTTTTGTATAGAACAAGATGACCCATCTCTCTACCACCTTGCCTTCCTGCGTGCTGTGCCCGACCTCAAGGGGTGGCTCTCGGCACCCTGCAGTGCTTCCACCAACCTTGGATCCATGCAACTCTGTACCCAATGGCCTGGGACCACCCTGCTGCCCACTTCACTGTGATGCCTCACTGGCCTGCCGCTACATGAATTGGAAGAGTGACTAGCCCTGAGTTTATGGACTAGAGTTGGACTGGATGGATACCTACAGATTATATGATTTTTTTGATATCAAATCTTTTCTTATAAATAGATGAACACCACTGGATTTGTTTCTGTGACAATCAAGCGTAGCACATTTTCTCATATTACAAATCTTTCAATATGTATGGTCATTACGCCATAAACCCCACCGAACCATTAGGATGATTATAACTCATGGATACTCCCTGTCCTTCGGAATGGAATTTTACATAGAGTTTGCAATGGCTATCAAATTTGGAAGTAGATCACTGGGTACCTCTTGGTGAATTTGAATCACAGCTTTTCAGTTAGCAGCAAGTGCTTAAACATTTGCATCACCCAGGAGCTTTACTATACCATACCAATCACTTTATTATCAACTAATCAGTATATGTTGTATATAAAGTTCACAATTTCAACATAATGGTATACATCATGCAAACAAATGGTTAATATGCTCAGCTGCTAATCAACAGATGAGACGTTTAAGTCCAGTTACAGGTGTCCCAGAAGAAAGGCCTAGTAATTTAATTCGGGTAAAGCAGTCACTGAAACATTATGGAATATAAGTCTACTCTGACACATGTAAGGCGACTACGAGTCAGAGTTTATTGGCCATATTTCCCCAGAAGATTCAGCAATTCGCTAGACAATTAAATCCCCCTTGTGCTTCATTTACCAATACCAGGATTTGTTTTACTGCTAACAAACTGAGAATGAATTTACCAAGGTCTTCAATTGGCTAGACCATGGGAAGACAATCTCCTGGGGGTCTATTAAGACTCTCCATGCGACTGTTTGCTTGTGTTCCTTATGGCTGTCTTTCTAAGTGAAAGATTTCCCATTTCTGGCTTCTCAGTGTAACTGAAGGCAAAGCGCAGATGTTCCTGAATCATGCACCGTATCTATACTCTGTGGGTAGGAACTCGTTGGCCTCTGGCCAGCAGTACTTTGCGCATCCTTACCAGACCGGCACATAGAGTGTGCCAACCCCTGCGGCTCAAATCAGCCAGGCAGTTGGTTATGAACAATAAAAAAGAACAGCACCTCCCTGGGGGGACTCTCTGTGATCTGGGGGAAGCCACCTCTAGAAGAAGCCCCAAGCTCACTTTCTTTGGAAGTTAAGAGTTTGAGAAGTGCTGACTCCTCAGACATGGTGTAGGAACCTCTCTTTTCCAGGCAGATGGCTGGGAAAGATTAGTGAAGCTGACTTTAGTGAGAGAGATTTCTGGCTTGATGTCTATGTCTGGCGAATATACGTTTGAGATTCTCCTGCAGGGATTCTGGGGAAGTGGTTCTCAACTCTTCGTATTAGTTGTGGAAACATTCATTAAATTACAGAAAAGATGAGTTCTCTGTTAGATGATTAGGGACTTAGTTGGGAAACTTGTGATCTCGGTTCTTGAAAAGAACAAAACAGAAAGGAGTAATCAGATATATGAAGTGGTATTTATAGCCCAAGGGTACTTTAATCGTAATAGAGACGCTGAACATAAAAGCTTAGCTCCTCTACGGTACTGAGAACCGAAATGTAAGCCACAGCTAGACGCTCTAGCACTTCCATCAAGTTGGTTCCACTCATAGTGACCCTGTAAAACGAAGTACAACTGAGATGATCTGTTTTTACAGCTACAAAGAGCCTCATCTTTCTCCCA